GGGGAGCAGAATAGGCGAACTGACTGAAACACTGCTGAGGGGAGCAGCCGGGAGACAGCCATGAGCTGAGCCATGTGACTTGGCTCCCTGGCTGGGGATAGCTTGATGTGGGCCTCCTTGCCCACTAGGAAGCCCACATTATTATGTTTTACAATTTTATTTGACCAAAGCACTGCAGTTTAAGGTCTACTATGATTTTGAATGATATCTAAAAATGACACACTTAACATGGTTGTAGAAAACCATAAGTAAACCAGCATTCCACAGTACTCTGCTATTTTTGCTGTTTACAATAGAAAGGGCAATTCTATTGTGGAAAACATACAAGATTGAACATAACAAAATTATGTATTCTAGTAGCTAGGACTTGACAGATGCTCTAATTCAACTCCCTAAATTTAAAGATGAAAAATTTGAGTCTTATTAGCATTCAGATGATGGACATAATTTTGTTTCTAATACACAGCCACACAAATTATAAGTTGTCTAATGAGACTTAACAATAGCAATAGAATACATGGCAAATACGCTCCTCTTTGAATTTTCCTTCTTGATATTTTCAAGGCAAAAGTAAATAGCCAGAAGCAATCTTGATTGATAAAGCCCAGAGAGAAAGGTGTGATGGGTAGATAGGTGGAGGAATGACAGGTGGCATGAGTGATGAGACGGAACAAAACAGGCATCTTCATGGGAGACACCTGGAGTTTTTAAATTTGTACTGTTGCTAAGCAACTATTTTGCACTTTTCCCCTAGTTTTCCTACCTGCCATTTGCCTTACTATAATTTCCAAAAGAGAAGACTGTCTTTGGAATTGACCTTGTTTTTAGACAGATGTAAAAAAGACACTACAATTAAGTGAAATTTACCAGTGAGAAACATCCAAACCAGTCTTCCAAAATTTTTTATTTAAGTGAGTAAGGTGAATAGTGACACTTGACTGAACATACTGTATTCTTTTGATAATATATAGGTTATTTATTTAGATATATTTTACATCATTACTCATTGCTACACAATGTCTGCTTTCTCCTGGGGGAGGGGCAGTCCCCGGAGAATTCCCACCACCAATTCACCTGTGCTCCATCACACCTGAGCTCCATCACCACAGCTCACTGCACTCTTCTGATCCCTTAACCTCCCCCTCCCCTGCAGAATGTCTCTGATTTACAGCCGTCTGTTATTTTGCTTTTTCCTTGATTCTCTAGATTCCTCCTATAAGTGAAGGCATCTGGTATTTTTCTTTGTCCTTCTGACTTATTTCATGGACCGTAATTTTTACTTTTATTTTTTTCCATGGGGCTTTGGAGTAAAACAGGCATGTTTGAGTCTAGGCTGTGATATTTAGAAGGTGCACTTTCATAATCAAGCTCCTACCTTGCACATTTTTTTTCTTTCATACCTATAGAAAAAGTCTTGTTAAGAGAGTGAGCATCTTTTTAATGTAGTTATATATAGTAAAAACCCAATATGGTAACCTTAATAATATCCCCAATGGTTTTCAGAATTTCTTGCTTTTGTTCCTCACTTGAAATCACATTCATCTCCTCTTCGTTGGTAACTACCTTAAAGTCAGCTCATACACTTGCTTCATTCAGTTTTGCACTTTCATGTAATTCTTGGTTCCAAGATTTTAGTCCCCCCATTTGGATTTTTTGGGGAATAGTGGGATACACCCTGTCAGCCTCTGTGGATCTGCTGCTGCTGAGAAGCACCGGAAGTTTGGAAGAAGATAAGGATCAGAGGACAAGGACATTCTGGAATCCTCCAGGACACTGCACGTGGCCTTCAGAGAGGCCCTTTCAGAGAATGTCACTCTGTTCCCGTTCTCACAGATCCTCCTCAGGGCATCTCTAATCAATATGGCCACAGGAAGCAGATCCTGGGCAATGTAGATTCAGCTCAACAAAGTGACACTACAAAAAACAGTCATCTGTCGCTGGAGGGAATTGTATTAAACAGTAAACATTTCCGATTCCCTCTCCTATTGGTTTATTGATGTGAAAATGATAAGAATGGTAACTACCTCTGCAGGGTTTCAGTAAGGCTTTAATGAGATAGTAACGCAAATACCATATGACTAAAAATAAAAATTACTTAATGTCACTTTTTATTAGCTACGTGCTTAATGTGCCTCTGTGTCATCCAGGACTATATACTACGCCTGGCACACAGCAGTGAGCTAAATGGACAAAATCCTTGTTAGCATGAAGATGAATCAAGCAGTGATATGACACAGACAGCTAGTAGAGTGGATTTCAGGGGAGGAGTCTACATTAGGGCCATACATAGTGGTAGTTTGGTAGCATTTTTAGGGTATAATTCTGAATTTACGCACCTAGGAAAGAACAACTAAATTGGGAAGAGGCCCACAGACAGGTCTAAGGAGCTCCAAAATTTAAGGGTGAATAAAAGGGAGCAAAAGTGAAGTTAAGAAAACAATAATACATAAGAAATAATAGTTCCCAGTTTGGCTATTAGGACTGTCTCTATCTGCGAAGGTGAGAGGGGTCAACTTTAAGTTCCAAAAGGTCAACTCTTAGTTGAGAGCTGACCAGGGGGGTGTCTGTGAGAATGGACTGGGTTCAAGAGAAGTGAGAGGAGAAGGTCTTGGCATTAAAGATGGTGGAAAGCAGAGCAGCAAGAAGGGAGACGTGTGTCACTGGGGATAAGAGACAGGCAGAGCTACGTGCTGGTGTATTTCATACCCTCTGCACGAAATATATTAAACTGGTTCTTTTCTATCTGCTGCTTTGCTAATTGATGGCCGTGATCCATCAGCGCTGAACTGGGGTGGCCCAATGGGATAAACTTGAAAAGGACAAAGGAAAGTTCTCTTGAAGAGGAAAATGATCAAATTGAGTATTTCTTACTTTCTTACCCCAATGCATGTTAACTTCCCAGGAGGAGGATGAGGCTGAGGAGGTGGGTTCTGCTTAGAGCAAGAACATTAAGGAAATACTCAGAGAAGTTGAAAAGTTGTGTGTGTGTGTGTGTGTGCGTGTGCGTTTTAAGTTTGGAGATGAAAATTTTCTTTACAAAGATTGCAGTTTCCAGAAAGCACATAGGGAACAGGACAGTTGTGGAAGAGCTGGACCGACTAGGTGTGTGTAAGGTCTTGGAGTTAGTCATTTCTGTCCTGCAGAATTTCAACCGGTAGTAGGTTAGGGAATATTTGCTCTAAGTGAAACCTGCACCAGACCTGGGTGGGGGGCTGGGAGAACTCTGGTTCACATGGCTCTGGGCTTGGCTGGAATAACTGGCCTGACTGGGGAAAGTTCCATAGCACTGTGCTGCTCACACCCAGGGCCCAGAAGGGGCCAGTGTAACTACCTTGTCTTTCCCTACTCCCCCACGGAACCCCCCCCCCCCCCCCACCCCCCACAAGTGGCTCAGCTGAGAAAGGGAAGCTCCAGATACAGTTCCCCAGCCCTTGAAGCAAAGACACCGACACATGTGTCTTTACTATATCGGGCAGAATGGTCTTTTTCTGTCCTGCCTCAAAGACTTGGCGACAGCGCCTGGGATGCGAGAGGCGCCTGCCTCAGCCACTCTGTCAAGGGAGAAGCCAGACACCGGGCTGGTTTCTTCAATTTCGCAAGTGGCAAGCTTTTCACCTAGTGTTGGCGGACTCCAAATTGTTTCCCATTTTTCCAATTTAGTAGGAAGCTGTGAAAGCCACAGGCAAACGGGCTGAATGACTCATTCGGTTCTGACCATTCCCCAGCCCCAGGCTGCCTGGACAGCTCGCGCCTCTCCCTGCTGACGGCACCTGCAGCCGGTCCTGCTCCCCGGGGACTGTGGCGCAGGTGGGCCGGCGCGGATCGCGGCTCCATCCGTCCATCCGTCCAGGCCCATCCCCGCCCCAGGC